CAGTGGTTGAACAGTGGACTGAAACCCATTTAGGGTCTCCCCGCGTAGAGTTCAGATCCTACCATGCGAGTTTTGTTCTTTACAGAGGAATTTCTTTTAAAAGCATGTCAACATCTGCAAAGAAACATCCTGGTTTTAAAGAATGTTTTGGTTTCTTTAGATAATTAATTTAAAGAACCTTTATGTGACAAATATCATTACATGAGTTTTAGCAACTGTTTCGAGCATTTATGGCCAAGTGGTTAAGATGGACTAGAAATCGTAGGTCTCCCATAGAGTTCGAATCTACCGGCTGCGGTTTGTTCCTTATAGATTAGTATAATAGAAAACTAAATTTTTAAAGGAAAAGATGCTTGTTTTTAATATTTTTAAATGTGTAAGATACTAGATACCTACATGACAAATATCATTTACATTGGGTTATCAGCTGTTCAAACTTAGCTGTGGCCGAAATGTTTAAGGCGATGGACTAGAATCCAGGCTGGGGTCTCCCGCGCTAGAGTTCAGATCCTGACTGCGTGTTTATCCTTTACAGATCATTCTTTAGAAAAACATGCCATACTTCTTAAAGAAAATCTAATTTTAAAGATGTTTAATATTTTAAATTAAGATAACAGAAATACCCAACATGTATTAAATATCATTACATAGTTTTAGCAATGTTTGAAACAGCTGTGTGAAGGTGGTTAAGTTGATGGATAGGAAATCCATTGGGGTCCTCCCCGCGTAGGTTCAGATCTACTGGCTGGTTTGTTCCTTATAGATTGAACTAATAAAGCTAAATTTTTAAAGGAAAGATGCTTGTTTTTAACTAATTTTTAAATGTGTAAAGATACCTAGATACCTACATGTGACAAATATCGTACATTAGATTTATCAACTGTTCTAACAGCTGTGGCCAGTGGATTAAGGCGATGGACTAGATATCCAATTAGGATCCAGCATGGAGTTCAGAATCTCTGGCTGCAGTTTTGTTCTTCCTGGAGAATTCTTTTGAAAACATACCGTACTTCTTAAACGAAAGATCAGTTTTTAAAATAAATTTAATTTTCTTTAGATAAATGATTCAGTAACAAATTTATAACAGTGTCCTACATTACATGAGTTTTAGCAACTATTCCGGCAGCTGCTTGTGGCCAGTGGTTAAGGTGATGGACTGAAATCCATTGGGTCTTCCCGCGTAGGAACAGAATCTGGCTGGGTTTTCATATAGATAAGAATAATGAAACTAATTTTTAAAGGAAAGATGATTGTTTTAACTAATTTTTAATGTAAAATGCAGAGATATATTCATGTAAAATAACATTACATTAGTTTGCTTAACTGTTTGACAGCTGTTGCCGATTAGTTAAGGCGATGGTTAAAGAAATCCATTCTAGTCCCAGTAATTTCAGAATCTCACTGGAGGCGTGTTTTATTCTTGTAAGATTTTCTTAAAAACATCCATACTTCTTAAAAGAAAGTCCTGGTTTAGAAGAATTGCAATTTTCTTTAAATAAGTAAGTTAAAGAAATCACATGTGACAAATATCACATGGTTTGTAACTGTTCGGTAATTTGTGGCCAGTGGTTAAGGCGATGGACTAATCCATTGGGGTCTCCCGCGTAAGTTCGATCCCTCTGGCCTGTTTTGTTCTTTACATGGTCTCTTTTAAAAATTGTATACTTCTTAAATTTAGAATCCTCTTTTTAAAGTGTTTTAATATTTTAAATGATTAGGTATGAAATACCTTTATGATAAATATCATTACACTTGAGTTTTGCTGTAACTGTTCAATAGCTGTGGCCAGTGGTTAGGTAGTGGATAATACTCATTAGGTCTATCCCATGAAATCGAATACTACCAGATGCGGTTTTATTGCCTAATAGATTAGACTAATGAAAACTAAATTCTTTAAGGAAAAGATGTATTTTTAATTAATTTTTCATCATTTAGATGCCGAGATACATTCATGTGACAAATATCATTATTAGATTTATAGCTATTTCTAAGCAGCTTTGTATGCCAGTGGTTAAGGCGATGGTTCAGAAATCCATTAGGTCTCCCGCATAGGTTCAGACCTACTGCCTGCGAGTTTTATTCTTTTCTGGGAGATTTCTTTTAAAACATGTGTATCTTAAAAGAAACATCCTGGTTTTTAAAGAATGTTTTAGTTTCTTTAGATGAAAAATTAATTTAAAGAAACCACTATGTGACAAATATCATTGTGAATTTTGTAACTGTTCAAGTAGCTGGCAATAGTGGTTAACGCGATGAACTGAAATCATTAAGGTCTCCGCGTAGAGTTCGAATCTACTGACAGCGGGTTTGTTCTTCTAGACAAAGTTATCTTTAAAAACATGACAAACTTCTTATACAAAAATATCTGTTTTAAAGAATGATTTATTTTCTTTAGATAATTAAGTTAAAGAAACCCTTTATGTATTAAATGTCCACATTATGAGTTTTAGCAACTGTTCTTAGCAGCTGGCCAGTGGTTAGAGCAATACAGCCAACTTCA